CATTCTATAAATGACCATGGATAGAGAACTTGGTTTTGTTGGAATTAATTGGACTAGTGTTGATATACTAGTTGGACATTAAAATGAAATCTTGTTAAAATTGATCCTAAGGTTGGATTGTGAAGTATTATGCCTTAAGTAGTCTTAAGAGATGTTTTAAGGTAGAAAAGTATGAACTTTAAGTTATACTAGGGGTAGGCCTTAAGGGATACCCAAGATAAATTGAATAATAAATTGATCCTAGGTATAGGATTGGCCTACGGGTGGTTCGGTAGTCCTTGAGGATAGCCGGTTGAATTATGGGAATAAGTAAGGACCATGGCCCTTCCCGACTCTAGAGAGCGGGGTTGGATAGCATGGACTTGCATCGTGATCACGGGTTAGGGTAGAATCCGAATCGGAGACCTAACTAGGCTCCGGTAGTGGTAACACATAAGATAGGACCCCGAAGGGCCTTACCTTCCTACAGGATGATGGGTATGCGTCCATGGGCGGGATGTTGGAATCCAAACCGAGAGCCTCATGAGGTCTCCGACAGCGGTAACAAATCCCGTAGAAATAATAAGACCAACGGGTTAGGTTGTACAAATGATAAATGCAAGGAAATATATAAGAAAGGTCGTGTGCCGACAAATAAATGAATTTACTTATTATAGAGATAATAAGTGTGAAATATAAATAAATATTTATATTATGATATCACCCTATTTTGAGGGTATTAGAAATTAAAGCGTTGATTATACTCGGTATAGTTGTCATTGTACTTGTCAAATGTTTCCAAGTACTGACCTCCCCTTCACGGGGGAGGCCACCTCACAGTTTCAGGTAGGAGTTGAGCTGCTACCATCGCCCGTTGTTCCGGGGAAATCAAGGGAAGAAGACGTGGTTCGTGCTTCTCCCGTTCTGTTTTAAAAACACTTATGTTAATGCTAATGGATATTATTTTCCGGATAATTATTTTGGGGGCTTGTATGCCTAATTATGCCATGTGTGGCTTGTACACTTGTATTAAATGATTCCGCTGCTTGAATGAATATTTTACATTATGTTTGTTTATGGATGTACTATGTGTGAATGGTATTCAAGACGCCTTGTATAGTATGGATGAGTTGGACTGCGGTTGACTATTCGTACTGTACGGCGGGTTGTTGATGTGTCCGGGTAGGTCCGGGGCGTGACATAATTTTTTTTAGACAATTTCACATGTAGTATATGTTTAACGGAGAGAATGTATGATATGCTCAAATTCTTGTGTCTGTTTCTTTTTTAATGTCGAATCTTAGCAATTTGGGAACAATACACTTTTCGAGACCGTGGTCATCAATATTATATTTATTATCCAACTCACCCTCAAAGTCTTTAGTTGTGGGTGCAATATATATCAAACAACATGTTAGAGAAACCCAAAAATATCATGTCTTTAGCTATTCCATCCCTCTGAGGCCATAAAACTTGGCGTTCAAGACTTTTGGAACCCGACTCGACAACTAGGGGACACACTGTCATAATTATCGAGAGCAATCCTGCGGTGATTAACCAAATTTTCATGCATTGTTGCTAATGTTTGAAAAAATGCCAAGAAATTTTTCCGACATTCCGGTTAAATCAACCCAGACACTAAATTAACATTATTATCAGTAATATCATTCACATTATTCTCAAGAACAACATTTTCAAAAGTTACAACATTTTCCAAGTTCGTCATATTGGATCTTCAGAACTCGAGAAATATTTATCTTTCTTCAAGAGTGTGAGCAAAATGATATAAAAATGCAAGTTTAACCAAATACAAATCCCGAGTTTATTACAAATCACCAGACAAACCACCAAATGCAAGAAAAGAAAACAACAATAATAATTAGAGTAAATTAAAGATAAAGTGAAGAAAAGAGAAAAATAAAACTCATCGCAGGATCGCCCGTTAAAACGGACTAACCTTAAAGAAAGATAGTCCCGTATCCCGGTAGCTTTTTGAACAATTCTGTTTGCCTCTCTCTCAAGACAATCCTACCACGTTTTAGACTTGTAGCTACCTCAAATGAAACCTTCGACCGTTGTCCGGTTTGCCGTTGAATAGAAAGACTACTATAGAGTATATATACTCTCACTCTCGTACAAGGTAAATAGGTAATGTACTGATTTTCTTTTTTTTAAAGGAAAGCAAAGTTGCAAAAGAGAAATGTGTGGTTGGTTTTCTTTCTTTGTGCGTGGAAGAAGCAAATGAATTATTGAAAGGTATATGTCCTTTCTTGTTTTTCTTACGTGAGACTTACATGCAAAAGCATGCAAATGGTCGCATTTAACTTTTGGAATAAAGAACGGATCGGGAAACGAACCTAACGGAAATCGGATATAAGTTTACATTCAACCAAGTGGAGAGTGAACGGCTAAACGGGTCCATGTTTTTAGGATCCCATAGATTCAAGTTCAAATGGATATTCTTCTTGGACTTTAGTGTCTTGTGGCATCAAACTGGTCGGCAATACTAATAAAATAGGTTATCATGAGTATTCATGGTGGACTGCCTATTTACTTGAATCAATCCAAACAAAATTTATTTTTAAAAAACTTAAAAATTATTATTTTTAAGTAAAAATCAAAACTCGATGTCTAAAATAATATGCCCAGAACATAAAATATTCGGAAAACCTCAAGTTACATCGCACTCCGTCAAACCTGTAATCCAGTTTTGCACACGCTCTCCATTTGAAATTTAGAGAAGTGTGAGACACATCTTCAGACGGCTGGGTGAATCTCGCAGAAACGATTAAAAGCATTAACTGAGCTCCTCATGGAAATTATTACAAACACATAGCAATCAAACATATCAACATTGAGTTTGAAGATGAGATTAACCTATACCTCATGATGTTCTTTGTAATACTGAGTACATGCTAAAAAAATTACAATTATGCCTAGTACGAAGTATATTCTAGTCGTACCTTGACACCAGAATCCGGGGAAGAAACTATGTCCTCCTCCTCTTTCCTCCTCTTCCTCCTCTTCTTCTTCTTCCTCCTCCTCCTCCTCCTCCTCCTTAACCCCAGTCCAATACACCTTGTTCTGGCCCATTACTGATCCATGATGGTGACATTTTTGGGCGGAAAATTTATCAAAATTTCCACTTGTTTTTATATAGAGATAGATGACATCTCCCACATGCTCTTTCAATTAAATCAACAGCCTACAGGCATCCATTACCATGCTTGACTTTCTTTTTAATTTGTAACGTTTGTGATTTTATTTGGCTAATAAAAACTTTTCAATTAGATGAGATTTTCTGTCCCTCTGATTTTTCATCGATCTTTCTTTCTAGGAAACAGAAGTTTTTCATTCTTCATGACTCAACGATTTCAGCGATAAACCACCCCCTTCGTGGACTCCAAGCAATGTCATATAGCTCCTTCGACGAGCGATTGTGACCTCCGCAATCAATGGACCCACTGACCGGACTCCCTCCTCTCCTAATCAACCTTTCGTCAGCTTATATCTTAATTTTTAAAATCGTTTATTAAAGACTTAAATTAAACTAAGGTAGAGAAAGGAAAGATATCATAGATGGGGGAAGGTGGACTGGTGAAAGATAGAGCAAACTTAGAACGAAGAAAGAGATAAATAAAGAGAAAGAAAAGAAACGGTAAAGAAAATAAATAAAAAGTAAATGACAAATAGTAAAAACACCACTAGGATCGGTCACCTTCCAGTCATTTTGGTTTAAATGATTGTTTTTAAGAAATAAATATATGTAATATAACACTTATTTAAGTACATGGCTTAAGTGATGCTTTAGTGATATAAAAAACCTATTTGACCCCTTTCTCTTTCTTCTTAAATATTAAAACAAGCGACATTATTTGACATTTGTATAAGAAATGACTACATATTTATGACTAAAACAAAAATTATTTACAAAAATGTGACTGTCGACTAAAGTAGTAATGAAATCATAGTAACTTATGTTTAATTTTTAAACTTATGTTATCATGACACTACATTGTAGTACTACGTAACTATTACTCATATTTGTGTAAATAAACTTTAGTTTAGTGATATAGTACCTACAATGAAATAGTAAATTATTATAAAAGTAATTTCAATCACTACAGTCATAAAATTAAAGATAATTTATCTTTATTCGTGTAAATAAAATTTAGTTTAGAAACCATTTTATCTGTTTCTTCAAATGATCTCCAACAGTAACTTCAACCACTACAATCAAAATAATTTGTTGTTACAAAATTCGAAAACTTTTTGTTAGTCTTACCTAATTAAGGCAAATTAAAAATTACATCTTTCAAAACCCGAATTGTAGAGTTGTTTGTGGACAGACAACTTGTCTGATGAGGACAAACGAGTATACACAAAAGGTGTACAGACTTTGTGTACACCATACATTTTTCATCGAATATACCAAGTTCTTTGACAAATCTGCACGGGGGTTTGCGATGATGTACTAAGGACTAAGAAACTGTTCTCTTCGTCTGATTTGAATGTATCTGATCTGAATTTTTTAAAATCTGATCTGATTTGAATCTTTCTAATCTGATCTGATTAATCTTTCTGATCTGATCTGAATTTTTCTGATCTGATCTGAATGCTTCTGATGTGATCTGATCTGATCTGAATCCTTCTGATCTGATATTAACTTTCTAAACCGGTATATAATAATATTAATACTAATATTAATAATAATATCAATAATAATTATAATAATAAAATAATAATAATAACTATTATAATTATAATTATAATTATTTAATAAAATTAATAAAATAATAATAATTATTATTATAATTATAATAATTATAATTATAATAATAATAATAATAGAATGTTTCCAATTTGCTATGAATGTTTGTGATCTCAATGTTTCTGATCTGAGCTGAATGCTTCTGATCTGATCTGAATGCTTCTGATCTGATCTTAATGTTTCTGATCTGATCTGATTTGAATATTTCTGATCTGATCTGATAGGAATAAAATAAGAATAAGTAATAAGAACCGCAGGTCCTAACACAAGTCCATCAGGCCAACAGGGCGATTCCTTGATAGCTCTAGTAATTACAGTCGAGTGCCGCTGTCGATAGCCCTGCCGCCTAAGAGCAGCCATTTTCATACATCATCTTGGTACAATGGCCACCGTGATGCAGAAAATCAAAGACATCGAAGATGAGGTAATATCACTAATACGTACACACAATATCTACATTGTTTGAATTGTTTCACTTTGCTTATGAAACTGCTAGATTGATTAAATTTTCTATAAAATTAGGTCATTTTCATGTATCATTGTGTTCAAAATATGCTCTACTCAGTATTTTAGAGTTCATTATTTTGACTGCCTGCCTTTGGCTATTGCATAATGAACTATCTAGATGGTTGTTGCTACGGAAATGAACTAATTTCTTCTCAGCAGTATCTTCTCAGCAGTAGTTTTCTCTTTAAAACCACCTTTTTGGTAGATAAGTAAATAAATTATGGACTTCTGGCACACCATTTCTCGTACTACAGTAATATGCTCTAAATAATCTGTTTGTCAGTTTTAAGAAAAATGAATAGGAGTAGAAAGCCTGAGATGAGATTTATGCAGACTCTACATTTTATGTCATTCCGTCGCCCCTGCCCTATAGGGGGCCTGTACGCTCTAGTAGCAATGGATGCTGGACAACTGAAAACTCTAGTTCGAGTCCCTGAGGGATCAGATGAGGTTTACAATAGTTGACCTAAATGGTCGGCACACACTTGAATGACTTGATTAAAAATTGGAGGCGGGATAACATGTCTTCCGTGTTTACAAGTAAAATTGGAGGCGGGATAATATCTTTACAAGTAATCCCAGTTTCAAGAAGAAACACCACAAGAAAACAAAACGTATATGAGTGTTTACTGAGCACTTCTTATCACTATTTTTTCGTTTCACAGATAATAGAAACATAAAATCAGTGTAAATGAAATTTCTGGGTTCATTTTTGTTTAAGGTTATATCTAGGCTATATTCATGAAGAAGATATCTCAAAGTGATTGACATTGTTAATTCATATGCCTTTCAATGTTATATAGGCAGGCGCCATTTGTGACAAATAGATTATTTCCTTTTATTTCTTTTGTGCAGATGGCAAGGACTCAGAAGAATAAAGCGACTGCTCATCACCTTGGCTTGTTGAAGGTAGTGCTTCCTTCTATCTAGTGTGTCTTGTTATGAAGGGAGTTGCTCAATCATCACTCATCCACTGGGTAGTGGGGGTCATGAGGCAGTGGTCTGGCAGGTTTTTGGGGAAACTAAAATCTACTGGCTAGGGGTGTGCTCCAGCCCAAAACTGGAATGTTGTGTTTACTGCATGGAACAGAACTGGTATAACTGATTCAAACCCTAACCTGGTCAGATATTCAGATGAACCAATTTTAGTAAAACCTTTGTTTTTTCTTTAATTAGAAAAGTGAAATCCGTATTCATGAATATTAATCGCCATTTCTAGTAAACTAAATACTTGCTGGGACTTCAAGAGAGCTAAATCATTTAAACTTTACAAAATATAAATGCTATCCAAAAAATTACAATCGGACCAATAAATTAAGTATATAAATCATAAAACCCTAATAAAACTAGTTGATTCTGGTTGAAACCCAAAGAAGCTGGTTTTTATTTCAACCAGAATCCAGAACTTTAATATGAAGTATTTCATTACCTTACGCAAACTCGGATACCATCTAGGTTTGGTTCTGGTTTTCTGTAAGGCTCGGTTTCTGCAGATTCCTACTGTTCGCTACTGGGATAGTTGTGACTTGTGAGAAGAATATAAATAAAACCAAGAATGTGAAAATATTACTGGTAATGCTTGAGAGGATTTCCTAACTTGAATTAGAGTGAAAGTGTTGAATGTCAAGATCTCAAGAACAGAATTACATTATATATTGAATGTGTAGAAGTTACCGATGACTAAGGTCTTATACCAATTCAGGGGAATTTATTGGAAAACAACTTTACAAGGACATCTAATTGGCTTATATCATGAGAACTAATAGACTCTAATAGAAGTAAGCTAATTCATATGTGAACTGTGGTTGAACATGACGGCACTAAAGTCGCTTGTGTCCCAAAATAAATTCACTACTAAGGGCTAATACCGTAATCAAGGTTTAAAAAGGCGGGTTTGGGTTTCAAGGCGGTTTGTTCCTAAGAGGCGAGGCGTAAGCCTTGAGGCGTATTGAGGCGTAAGCCTAAAAAAATACAGACATATAAAACTTGATATAATTAAACTAGTAACAAACAACTCAAGAAGTAAAGGATATCCATAATTATAAGTCCAAAAAGTGTGAGACACAAATACATGTGACCTATTACCAGTAAGTCACTAGGCTTCAAACACACAAAAAGAAACATCTCACAAAAACAGACACATCACAGTCTCACAAACACACAGAAACAACCCACACAAATTGCATCACCAAGGCCTTCAGAACTACTAGGTGTAGCAGTAGAAGCATGACATCTTTTCTTTGAACCTCTCACCATTAAACTAAATCTACACAGAAGTATTATTAATGACATGACTAAGGAAGCAAAGTAAATCCTTTACCAGTTAGAAAACATGAACAACAGTTTTGTAAAAGAAGGATAAGAAGCAGTGAAGGAAAAGAAGAACAACAGTTCTGTAAAAGAAGAATAAAAAGCAGTGAAGGAGAAGAAATGAAGGTGAGGAGTTGAATAAGAATAGGAGAGAGAAGGGGATGGAGAAGAAGAGAGGAGAAGAAAAGTTACCTGGAAGCTTTTGGGCTGTTGCAAGGAGATGTCGCAGGAGAAGAGAGAGTTCTTTGCGTAGGTGAATAGAAAATATACGTTAAGGTTCAAATCCTTCAAATCCTTATCATGATTTGAATGAAATAAGACTTGTTAGGGTTTAGTATATGGGCTTCTATTTAGAAAGAACTCTGGGCTTTTATTAAATGAAATACTTGGGCCTGTTTTAAGTCACTGCGCAAGTGTTCAAGGTGTGCGCCTCAACAAATGCCTCAAGGCACGCCTCAAGGTGTGTGCCTCAATCTATGAGGCGTAAGCCTCTTTACCAGCGAAAAAAACCTACGCCTCAATCAAGTTGATACCCAACCAGTACGCCTCAGCTTGAGGTGCGCCTCAGAACCCGCCTCATAAGTGCCGTTTTAAACCATGACCGTAATATAGCGTAGTAGAGTTCATATCCACATGGAAAGGTGTTTTTCGTGTGTGTGTAAGCGTAAGATCAAAGTAGATGGAAGTTTTTTTTGGATGTTGCGATGATTTAGGTTTTTTGGAAGGTTACTATTTATGGTTATACTGATAATTATACTCCTTCCGTCCCATTCTTAAGCTTCTCACTTGCCTCTTTTATCAGTCCCAATTAAAGGTTTTTGTTTCTATTTTTGGTAATAATTAGCACTCGTAAATGACAATTTAATCATCAAATATTAAAAACAATATACCTGTAACAACACATTTGTTATCAAAGACCTCATTACATTATATACCCACCAAAACTACTTCTCAAATTATACGCGAATAACCTTATTTAATTTTTGTCTGAATTATAGTGCCATTTTTCAATGAGAAGCTTAAGCCCAGACGGAGGTAGTAGTATATAGCATACTACATATAACCCGTCTAATGATAAATAAGTTTCGGATTAGCAGTTGTTCCGCTACCCGCTCTACTGCTATATGACATTTCCAGATGTGCCCCTATGCTCCACTATCCGGTATTGACTAGACTAGTAGTGTGGATCTGTATAGGAGTTTGAGTTATTGACAAATCCAATCCATTCCCAGTGCCATGTCAGAACCTCCTATTCGCAAAAATCTGAAATTTCATTGGAACCCTTCCCATTGGGTGTGCTATTTGAAGTTGCTGCGTATTTCATCACACCTCAACTGTTGTCCACATAGCCACTGTTACTCGTGTGGCATCAACCTTAAAATTTACCATTTTAGTTCAGTCATCAACCATGGATCAAGGAAGCAATGTAGTGTTGACGGAATTTATCAAGATTGTTATTGGCCTCCTCAACTGATGGTATTCACTATTCAGTCTAGGATCTAGAGTGACTTCAGCCATTTCAGTATCATCCTCAATTTATTGTTGATCGCCTCAACAACAGAGGTTGCATTCAAAGCTGTATCCTTACATCTAGCCCCCATTTTTCTCTGCAATGGAAGCTTCAGGAAAGCAAGTGTTGGATTCCAGAGTCTCGATCCATTAAAAAATACAAATTGTAATTTGTAAGCCAAAAGAAAGAGAATTTGTAACCCTTAAGTTAGTTTCAGTAGCCATAGGCCTCTCCTCAAACTGTTTGGACTTGACAGAAGAGGCATCTAACAATGATTTGAGGTCTGCTGTCCTCACAAAAAACCTTTCTTATTTCTTGAGGCCCACATATTAGTTGTTTATGTAATAGTCTTCAGTAAGGGTTTGGTCCCTAAGTAGCATTTGGACTCAAATCTTCAAACTTCTGAGTGTACTCCTCCACTGTATCAGTCACATAAGATATACCAGTAGAGCTTAAACTTCTTGGCTTTGGAATATATCTATACTGAATTCTGTCCAAAGTACCTTACTACCGTTCTCCAAGATATACCCTTCCACCCAACTGCGCAAGATCACTTCCCATTTTGAAATGAAGTCTTATATACTCAATTATTTCATGCTCCCGAATCCTGTATACCCAAGATCTGCCATTCCTACTTGTTTACCCAAGACTCCATATTAGGTCAAAATATGAAGCATGCATTTCTCGATTATTCACAGGAAACACCGAAACAGTGCACTTCTACTTCTCAAGCTTCTTTAGCAGAAACATGCCTAATTTTATCATTACCCACTAATCCAGTGCATGGGTAAAGGAACTTCACATCTAGGCACTTGTGGAGAAGTAATCTTTGTCACATTGCTGCTGGTTCTCCGCTGACTATGGAGAGGCTATAAGCAGGGCTATAGGCTGATTTAACCTCCATTCAGTCATCATAGTTGACATCTATTGCTTGACCTCCTTCCTGAAGGCGGCGAAGGAGGAATGAGGCAGAAGGGACGATGCAGAAGAGGATACGAGAAGAGTTCAAATGTACTTTCCAGACATACAGTTTCCAGTTTCATGATAACTATTTCTAGCTCAATTTCAGCCCTTGAACGCCGCATTTGATTAATTAATCAACAGCCATACATTTAATAAATGTAGCTGATTTACCAGCTAAAATGCTTGGTGAAACAATGAACGCAGAAGGTTAATTACACTTTAACTAACAAAACTAGCTACCATCCAGTTACTTTTTTCTGGCTTTGCACCTCTTAGGAGCCCTACACAGAACATAAATATTAAAATTATATCTGTATAATACAATAAATTAATTATGTATTAATGTATTCACTGTCTTTCAATTTTAATCCAGTTGCTTTGTATTTCATTTGTGATGTTAGGCTAAACTTGCAAAACTGCGGAGGGATCTTCTAGCACCCCCATCAAAAGGTGGTGCTGGTGCTGGAGAAGGTTTTGATGTTACAAAAAGTGGTGATGCTAGAGTTGGTCTTGTGGGATTTCCTTCTGTTGGAAAATCTACTCTGTTGAACAAGTTGACAGGCACCTTTTCTGAGGTGTGATGTTAGTGCTTATGGTGTGTTATATGCTGTTATAAAAGAAAATCCCTCTTCCATCTTATTATGTGTTTTATACTGTGATAACGAATAGTCAAATATTGCATTATCACATACTCTCAGCTCATGGCTATTTTTTGAATATTTTTTCAATCTTATTTGCCAGGAATTCATATTCCCGGCATAATTTAATTTAGGGAAAAGGGTCAAATAAGCCTTCGAACTAACTTAAAAGGTGCAAATCACCCCTTATATAGGAGGCTCTGTCCGGCCGTCATCATTTGGGGCGGTTCCCGGTGCAATTTTTTGATTGAATTTTTTTAATCATCCTCTTCATTAAGTCTAGTTTACTCATACCAAATTTCAGATAACAATTCAACCGGAAAGACAGTCAAATGATTTTCTGAAATGTACTGCGTTGTTTAACTGCACAGTTATCTTCAAAAATTCATTTGAATGTCTTCCCGGTTGAATTTTTATCTGAAATTTGGAATGGATAAACTAGACTTAATGAAGAAGATGCTCAAAATATATTATCAAAAAATTCCACCGGGAACCGCCCCAAATGACGACTGCCGGACAGAGCTTCCTATGTAAGGGGTGATTTGCACTTTTTAAGTTAGTTCGAGGGCCTATTTGATGACTCTTTTCCCTTTAATTTAACTTGGTAACAAATTTATGTAAGTAGAGAGGATATATTCAACTTGCATGAAGACATAATTTTCATAAAGCATTCAAGCAAAATGTTCGATCTTCAAGGTTTTAAGTAGTCTACAAAAGAAGTATCATGATTACCTCAGTGCCGCAGATTGTTTCCGGATGACCCATAGTGAACATCGCGTCCAAAATTGCATGGATTGACCGCTGCTTCATAACAAAGAAGCGTAGACAGTTTAATGATCCATTTTGCTTTATTCCATCATATTCTCCAACCAAAAATAGTGAGTTTTTGGCTCCAAAGAAGTATCACTATCTAATAAAAATGGTAGAAAGCATAAGGATTTCTACTTCCAATAAAAAAAATTGCTTAAGAGGATCCTTAAATTTATTTAATGCCATCACCGGACCTCTAAATTTCCACTGACTCCCCTCTTTCAAAATCAGCATGTGTTCACAACTTTAAGCCTCTTCCTTTGGGATCAAAACTCAAAAGTGTGAGTAGTGTTTGGCTTGCAGTTTTAGTGCACCTAATAAAAAGGAAATGCTATACAACTATTGGTTTCCAAACCTTGACCAATGCCACACTTCTAGTACCAATCCTTTCTTCTTCTTTCTCCCCATTTTCTATTCATTTATTCCTTCTTTTTCTTGCCTCAGTATCTGTAAGCTTAAATTTATGGCCTGTTTGGTAGTTTGCAACTTAACGCTTTGCAGGCAAAATGATAGCATTCAAAATTTAGGGTAGCAATCATTTTGCATGTAAAATAAAAACACGGTTAGATGTGTACTTTATTTTTAAATTACAAAGAAAGTCATTGCAGTGCTTCATAAAAAGCATGCAAATTACACATAAAGTCATTACACGGTGAAGTGTTTAAGAAAATGTGTCCTCCACTTTACATTAAATAATCAAATCAAATGTCACAAACTTTTTACATCCTTACATTCATTTCACTTGCGAAGAAATTATTTTACAAGCTACCAGACGCCCTCTTATACTTCCCTTATCACAAATTAACAAAACAATTATGCTAACATATGTGAAGTTTAGAACATATGACTGATTCCAGCTCTTTCTTTTTTCTTTATCTGCTTTAACACCAATAATATACTTTCCCTTTCTTCTATCGATTTAGCACCCATAAGTTTGATAAATGGGTATGAGATTGGATATGGGCAAGGATGGAAGGAGGGAGTGTTTACTTATGAGGATTAGGAATGTAGCATTTCAATTGATCACTTTAGTGAATTAAATTTCTGGAAGATGTTGATGATTGAGGAAAATGTGTTGTTGGGGACGCTTTTGGTGTTTTTTTCTTTATTATTCCAGTTTATCTAAACAAGTAACAAATTCAAATATTCAAATATTTTACTGATTTCAAAATTTAAACTAAGCAGCCCCTAATTTCACGAGTCGTAAATATTCAAATTATTGTTCCTGAGCAGTGTTCAATCCTTCAAAGTATTGTTTTGGGTTTGAAAATGTAGAGTAAACACGAAGTTCATTTTATGACAAGATGCTTTGATCATTTTAAATGTTTTTACCCTTTGAGGTTAGTTTTGTTTAAAATCATGTCAGGAAATTGTTGAAGATTCTTATTCTTTTATGAATTGCCACTATTTTAAAGAAACATGTCACATGTAGATATCTAAGAGGGAAAGTGTTGAATATATTGACTGAACCAGGACATATTTAGGTCTTAAATAAACATGTGGCATGTTGAGCTTCTAAATTTTTAGGCTCATCATAACACATGTGTTTATATGTTAGGATTGTGAAGAAGCATAGTCCTCTTGTGAGTAAAGATATACTACAGGTCTTTTCATTGGATCAATTCTAGTCTTGAAGCTGGCTAACATTGTAAATTTTTACCTTGGGTATATAGACTTATTTTTTACCAGTTTCATGTGTTCTATTTCCGTCTAAATGGTTAAACTAATAAATTGGGCTTGTGTTTCTTCTCTTCTAATATGGAGTTGCATTTTAGTACTTATATGTGAGGTCAGGGTATCTGAAGCTTTGAAAATTAGAAAGCAGAAGAACTAAATTGATAGCTATTAGTTAGTCAAGAAGTCAAGTATAACATTATGATGCTAAGAATTTATTTTGCTTGCTCTGGCTTATTTTTTTGTTTTTTGTTTTTTATCTCTTTTTTCTCTGCATTAAGATTGTGTAGGCATGACCAGTTAAATATTTTTGTAACAATTTTCTGTCTGAAAAGGAAGGAATCATCAGCCGCGAAGCTTTGGTACCCAACTCCAAATCCTCTTTTCACTTGTGTACCTTTTATACGGATTGATCAATGTCTGTCACATAAACAATATAATTAAAAGATAATGCGATTTCAGTTCTTAGTGCCCATTGAGTTGTCTTTTAAAAGCACCATTTGGTGCTTTTAGTTTGGGGAAATAATTGTTTAAATCTTTCTAAACCTTATTTTTTTATTTTAAATTCAGTAAAATCACCAAAATTTCGCTTTTGAAATCTCTCAAAGGTAATTTTACCTATTTGAAAAGTTATCCTTTATCTATTTCCGTAATAGCACCAATATTTCGTTTTTGAAATCTCTCAAAGGTAATTTTACTTATTTGAAAAGTTATCCTGTACAGGCTATAACTAAATACTTTCTCCTAAGAGTCCCTTTTCTATGGTTTGCAGGTTGCATCATATGAGTTTACTACGTTGACTTGTATTCCAGGTGTTATCATGTACAGAGGAGCTAAACTTCAGGTACATTAACTGGATCTACTGTAATATATACTTTAATTTATGTTTACTTAATTATTTGCTACATTGCCCATTAGAGAGATTAGGTCATAACTTTGCATAAGTTGACCTTATGTAACAAAAGTGGGTTATTGAGTTTTGAGTCTCAAAAGTGGGTGTAGTTTAAGTGAGAATTCCCCTTAGTTTATAATTTGTATCATCCGTTGCTAGTTTATTTACATGTTTTGATCCTTCTGCTTTTATTGGCAGTTGTTGGACCTTCCTGGTATTATTGAGGGTGCCAAAGATGGAAAAGGTAGAGGAAGGCAGGTAAAATGTTGATATCTTTGTCTTTCTTGCTTACCTCTTACACATTTCTGGATGGCTGATATATTGAGAATAGAAAAGAAGGCAATAAGGGGCAGTAAATGATGTTTATATTGTGTCATTTATGTATTTGTCATCATTAATCTTGGAGTTTGAAGTTGTGATGCATGTATTCGTATGTTTGGACTTCAATCTTGAACTATGATGCATCACATCATATCACATGTTTGTGTTTGAGACTTTCTGGACATACAATTACGCTTATTATTAGTTGGCACTTAGAAGTTTCTTTGTTTTTTTGGGGTATGCTTTGAGATTACGTCTTGCCTCTCTAAAACAACCTGCTTTGATACTCAAACTAGTAAGCTCAAGAATAAAATAACTAAATGAGTGGTAGATGGTTTATAGATACTAAAGTTTGCAAATAGTTATTTTATTACTCCCTCCGTCCAGGATAAAAGCTGATGTTTGCTTTTGGCACGGTGTTTAAGAAAACCAATTAATGGAATAGAAAGCCCTTTTATACCCTTTGGCCCTCTTTGGACCTTGTTAATCTACCGAAATGGAGGTAGTTCCCACTGACTGGACTGACTGGACAGGTGAGCAGTACCAGGCAGTGGGAGTTGATTTTTTTACTCCATGTGGCTGTTAACTCCCCTATTTCTTAAGTAATTCAGCTCAAGTGGGAGGGAAATACAAAAGTGGAGGGAAACACAATTTTAAGAGGGAAAACATCAACACAAATTTTAAGTTTCAACTCAAATTAAAAGATGAGTCCATTACAGCAGTTCACAAACACCTTTATATAGGTCTCTCAAGCCATACAATATTGAGTCTCTTTACAAAGCCTACACTCTATACAAACACATGTGGTGCATAAGATGGGTCATCGTCCTTTGGGGGTTTCTCAGTAGTGCCTACAAGGTTGAGAAAAATGGAAATTCAAAAAAAGAGTTGAATTATCTTAAAACAGTTAACATTATAGTTCAAAAAAGAGTTTGGAGTATCTTACTTGTGAAGTAAAGCCGGCAAAAGTTATCAACAGATCGTTGTTCAGGAAGAGAAGGAACACGGTGTTCAAAGGAGTCTTCGACAATGGCATGTTCGAGATCTTCAAGATCCATGCCTGAATTCAGATCTGCCATAGCTGTTTAACAAAAAAAGAAAACATTAAAACCCTAATCGCATGAATCCATACATCAACACGCATGGGTAGATCGATTTAAAACTTGCAGTTTTCTTGGTCAGCCAAATGAACTCCAATGGTCGAAAATTAGGAGGAATTCAAGAGAGCAATTGAATAAATTCGTGAGAGAAGATGAACAGATGGAGAGAAAGAATGTTATTGCTCGACACTGGGTTCTGCGCATGGAGGGTTAGATTAGAGGAATAGTACGGAGTATACGAGAGTGACGGTTGGGTAGTGGATGGGTAATTAATTTTATCTAATTAAATGCAAATGTGGGTGGATGGTGTGAAGGGTATTTATGGCAAATCATGTTAAAGGAGTTTCTAAAAAAGGAAACGTAAAGGAGTAAATGGGACGTCCCAAAAAGGAAAGTGTAAAGATTTAAATGGGACTGAGGGAGTACCATTCTTACTCAGATGATTTTTAATATTTATTTTTGTTTTGTTTTGTTATGTTTTGTTATGTTGTGAAGTCTTTAGTGCATGACCAGGTTTTGTTAGAGATTCTATTATTAATGGTGTCACTTTTGAGCATTCAATTGATATGTTATAGTATTCCAACTCTCTATTCATAACTATTTTCTCCCAAGTACCTAATTGATAGCTGACCTACCTTTCGGGTCCTACAATTATAGAATTTTTAATGAAAAAGTGAATAGATAATTGATGAAGCTGTAGTTGTAGTCATAAGGTTTGCGTAGTAAATGCCTTTGTTAGGCACTCATCTGTGCAATAGTAAAGGTGTTACTTTGTGTCTAATTCACAATCCAGCAATTGATTTTCAAACCAAGGTAACTTTAACAACTCGGATAAACAGCTACCTGTGAACCCTCAGACAAGTCATTAAAGAGGTTTGTAGACCTGAATGTTATTCAGTTGTGAGTCTCAGAAGTGGTCCCTTGTGAGAAGCAAAAGAAGTCTTGACTGTCTAATAGGACCTCCAAGACATTGCATGTGGTGGAAGAGATGCGCATTGGGCTTTTTCTTTTAAAGTCTGTGATGTTCAGGCTATATTTGGATCCCGGAAAACATCAGGGAAAGGAAAGAGAATGCTTAGGAAAAATATTCTTGTTCTTGGATTTACCTCTGAAAGTTAAGGAAATAGAATATGATTGATTTTTAAAATTTTTATTATAGGAATAACTAAATAAAAAAAATCCGAACAGATTGAAAAATTTATGCAGTTCGAACAATGTTTTAATTTCCTCTACGTTTTCCCCGTTTTCTGTTCTTACAATTTTGGGAAAACTGTCAAATAGGTCCTCGAACTTTCATAAAAAGGTCAATTAAGTCCTTCTATAGGAGGTTCTGTCCGGCCGTCGCGATTTGGGGCGGTTCCCGGTGGAATTTTTTGATGAAATTTTTTGAGCATCTTATTCATCAGGTCTTGTTTACTCATACCAAATGTCAGCTAAAAATTCAATCGGAAACACGTTCAAATTAATTCGTGAAGATAACTGCACATTTTTGCGTTCTCGAATTAATTTGAACGCGTTCCCAATTGAATTTTTAGCTGAAATTTGGAATGAGTAAACTAGACTTGATAAATAAGATGCTCAAAAAAATTCATCAAAAAATTCCACCGGGGACCGCCCCAAATCATGACGGCCGGACAGAGTCTCCTATAGAAGGACTTAATTGACTTTTTTATGAAAGTTCGAGGACCTATTTGACAGTTTTCCCTACAATTTTTTCTGATACTTTCCCACCCATTTTTGTTTCACTAGAATTTTCTACTTTCCAAACGGACCCTTAATTTGTTTAAGAACACCTTCCAATTTCCAAACCATTATGTTTTTGTAGGTTTGAATTCAATCATAAACTATTCTGTTGTACTTGTAATTGGTCACCAAATTTTCAGGTTATAAGTACTTCCAGGACCTGTAATTGCATATTGATTGTTCTTGACGCAATAAAACCTATTACTCACAAGCGTCTGATAGAGAAAGAGCTTGAAGGGTTTGGAATTCGGTAACACACACAGTGATTCTCTTCTAGTAGCTTTTCAGTTTCTGATTCTGAAAGTTTACCAACTATTCCTATACTGTTAAATGATGATTGCAGGTTAAACAAAGAACCTCCTAATTTGACATTTAGGAAGAAGGACAAAGGTGGAATCAATTTGACATCAACAGTTGCTAATACAAACCTAGACCTGGAAACTGTGAAGGCTATTTGCAGTGAATACAAAATACACAATGCCGATGTTCATCTTAGGTATGATGCAACAGCTGATGACCTTATTGATGTCATCGAAGGTAGCCGAGTGTATATGCCATGCATCTATGTTGTGAACAAGATTGATCAGATCACTCTGGAAGAACTGGAGATCCTTGATAAACTTCCTCACTATTGTCCTATCAGGTAACCCTCCATCAGCACTGTGTAGAAGATGATAGGCAGATTTCATCAAGTTAAAGGGAAAGTCGTACTTTTAGCCTCTGAATGGTTGACATTATGTAATCCCAGACTAGTTTTTCAGATTTTGTATATATCAGTTGTTATAATTTAGATACGATACCTTCCAGATAGAATCACCATTAAGTATTAAGGTTTATGAAATCCTTCAAGGCAATACAGAATGCTGAGATTGCCTCCATAAACCCTAATATTTATGGGGGATGCATTTACAGTATAACAAATGAGACACTAAATTTACAAATGTCGAAAGACAAGTCCCATGTATATTTTCATAATGTCAAACAATCGAGTATGAAAAAGTGCCATTTTCTCTAAGCTAAGTGTAGGGCAGTTTTTCTTGATTATTTTTTCTGCAGTGCTCATCTGGAGTGGAACCTAGATGGTTTACTTGAGAAGATCTGGGAATATCTGAATTTGACCCGCATATACACGAAGCCTAAGGGAATGAATCCAGACTATGAAGATCCTGTAATATTGTCGTCAAGGAGGAGAACAATTGAGGACTTCTGCGATCGTATCCACAAAGATATGTCTAAACAATTCAAATAGTAAGTTTTTCCCTCACAAGTTTCTTCTTTTAGATGTCAAACTGGGTGTTACTTTTCTCAAGTTCCACACCAATGTGGACTGTGTCAATAGCAACTACTTTTGGGGAAGTGAAAGAACAGCACAGGGAATTTCTGCGATAGCGCCAAACACGGTTCAGAATAGAACTTTAAATTGAGTATTTCAAAAGATGACCCAAGTTTAGCGTATTTTTGGGCCTTGGAAAAGGATGTGAAAAGGGAAAAAGAAAGTGCCAAGGAAATTATGTTCTTAATTCCTTATGCTGGGTTTATTTTGGAAAATGCAATGTAAAGGGGACATGATCAGTCGTATAATGCTTTTTCCAATTATTTAAATAGAAATCGCTTAATATAGGACTAGAACATACATAAAGTTCAAAATAGATTAAGTATGTTTTACTCCCCAAATAAGACTTATTTTTAGTCCTATTAAAAGAATAACTTAATCAAAACTTCCCAAAATAGGAGTGAATTAGTCCTCTTTTGGGAATAAAACATTAAATAGTCCTTTTTATGAACTTTATCCATGTATTAGTCCTATTTAGGGATTTTTTCTTAAAATGTGAGAAATGGTTCAAATTGACCCGTCTACTATTTCCAATTCATCACTTCAGCCCCTGTATTTAAAAAGTATCATACATATCCGGTTGCTTCAAAAAATCAATCAGTCCAACCATTTAACAGGTTTTTGACTTATTATAGCAGTTCTTTAAAACTCCCAGAATTTTTTAAAAATAAGAGAAAAAATTAGAAAAACAATAGTAAGAATGTCAAAATATATACTATCTATTTTGTGATTTTGGAATTATTTTTATGTTCTACACCTTTTAAAAAATCCATATTAATTTTATATTTTTTATATTTTCATTTTGTTGTTATTTGTTTTTATTTTCATTTTTTATTTTAATGTTTTGAAATTATATATCTATCTTTGGCATTTTACTATTTTTATATTTCCATCACTATATTTTCTTACACAATATATGATTTTTTTTTAAATTAGAAATTTTCTCATAATCATGTTTTTCATTATTTTCCAATTTTATTTTCACATTTTAAAATTATATACTATAGTATCTATTTTTGACATTTTGCTATTTTTATATATCCATTTCTTTATTTTCTTATAAAGTACAATTTATATGATTTAAAAAAAAAATAAGTTTTCATAATTTTTTCAATAATGACCTGCTAGAGCAGGTCAAGATGGTTGGCTTGATTGTGTTTTTAAAGTAAACGTGCTTATGTGATACTACCTCTGTCTTATTTTATGCATCTTCTTTTGATTTGACACAATTATTAATAAAGTAGTTGAAAAGGTAAAAGTTGTGGTTGAGATTTGAATATAATAAAGTGAATTGTTGTGTATCACGTATTTCTTTCCAAAAAAAGAAACGAGACACTTATTTTGGGACAACAAAAAAGGGAAAAGGCATGTAAAATGAGATGTAGGGAATACTTTTTAGTATATGGGCTCGAGTGATAGATTTGAAATTGTAGAAAGACCTATTTGAACCTTTTTGCCTTTAAATGTCTTAGGGTGTTTTTAATTGGATTAATTTCTGATCCCGACCAGACTTAACCAGACCAGATCATCTTCAATAATTACAAAGTACACATAGAACAGACATCTAACGGATTAGACAATACATAAATAGATCAGGTCAAACCAGAAAATTTCAGTCCAATTAAAACCATTCTTAATCTTTTTTAAACGTCCTTAGTCTTTATAGATTGGAATATGCATAAATAAATGACCAGTATTAACAAACATTTGAATACGGAGCTCGTCTTGTTTGTTACTCTTATTCCCTCCAAAGTTGCTATATTTTGAAAATTTCTTGTATCCTATTTTTTGGGTTCCAAATAGACCCTTAGAGTTCTACTGAACGAACTTATGGGTGTTTGCTGCAGTGCACTAGTTTGGGGTTCAAGTGCAAAGCACAAGCCACAAAGAGTGGGAAAGGTCAGTTAACTGAAATGTGTCCTACTTCCTATTCTGTAGTCTCTACTTCCGAGTGGACTAGCTGGTCCATGATATTTTTATGGGAAACTGGACAGGGCCGGTTCTGAACCAGTTCCACCAGGTTCGGTTAATGATTTTTTATATACTTACAATACTAGAACAAGTTTTTTATTAATATATGTAGTAATATACTTCGTAGTAGTTATTAATTTTAATATTATTAGTATATAAAATAAAGAGTAGTATTATTAGTATTAATATCATTATTAGTATAATATAGTTATATACTACCTCCGTTCTTAAATAGATGCAACATGTTGAGCTTACACTATTCTCGAGCTCTACTTTGATTATATTTTATGTAGTAGTATTTATTAATGTATTAGAGATTTAATTTTTGAAAAATATTGTTAAATTCATCTAATTTTAAATTTTCGTAACCTGAATTGTTTAATTTTTTTACCAATAAGGAATGAAATATATTAGTGGCCAAAGTTGTGCGTTATTAGTTATAGTAGTATATTGCTTCGTACTATATTAGTTATAGTAGTAATTAGTTAGTAATATTACTATTACTATTATTTAGTTATACTACTATATTAATGTTAGTCATATTAGTAAATAATATAGTAGCTATTAGTCTATTACTATTAGTTACTATTATTATAATGATCATTATTAATTATTATTATTATTATTATTACTTTTATTATTTTATTATTATTTATACTCCGTTGACCGTATTAGTTATAGTAGTCATGTCTGTTAGTATAATATAGGTATATTACTATATTAATACTACGATTTTTAATATGTACTACTCCCTCCGTCCCTAATAACTTTGCCAAGTTTGACTGGCACGGGGATTAATAAAGTAAAAGTTGTGTGGTTAAGGTTTGTGCAGAGGAGATATAATTAACTGAAACCACAAATTCTTTATTTAAAAGGGAAAGTGTCAAAGTTAATGGGACATCCAAAAAAGGAAAGTAGGCAAAGTTATAAGGGACAGAGGGAGCATATAATACTCGGGTATATTATACTAAGGTGTGTGTGTATGAGCCGGAACTGGTACCGGTTTAGTCCTAGCCTGGTTCCCGGTGTCGGTCCCAACATTTTGGTTCCGGGTAAAAAGCCGTCTGGTTCAGTCCAGTTTGTCTGACAGTGTCCTCCACCCCTACTTCTATGTTCTAACTCATTATATCCTAGCTAGCAAATTTAAGGAGTGTTTGCAATTGTTCAAAAAAAAATCACTCTAGTTTTTTTTTTTTTTGCTTTAAAAGGTTAAAAACAGTGTTTTCAAACACGTGTTTCTATTTGAAGTTTAGCAATTAAGACGGTGTTTGGATCTGATTCTTAAAATTGCTTCGACTCCTTCAGAGTGCAGAATCAGAAGTTGGGTGTTTGGGTGAAAGTGCAGAAGTACTTATGGTGCTCTAATTTACTCCTAGAAGCAGTTTTTTTAGAAGCTGGGGAGACCAGTTTCCAAAAACTGATTCTGATTCCGCTTCTCCTTTAAAGAAGAAGCAAAAGCAGAATCATTTCTAAACATCCCCTAAAGCTAAACGCAGAGGAGGTTCTTTAAAATTGCTTCACTCTAACTAAGATACTGTTTTACTAAACACTGTTACTTTTAATTTTATAAAAATTATCTTTTCAAACTCCGTCGACTTTTACTAATAATCATTTTTTCATAAAATCTCTAAATTAAATCATTTTTCAAAAGTTAAAACAAATGCAAACACTCCTTAAATAAGGAGCCACAAATCTGCAGATAGTGAACTTTTGTTCATTCGGTAGGAGCATGAACTGGAGGATGAAGATGTTGTCCAAATTATCAAGAAGGTTTAGTTTTATAGGTTGCTACTGGTGCATCCAAGAGTTTTGATTTCTAGCAGGTATCATTCCCTGTTGTTTCGTCGGTATGTGTTTTGCCCTCTATCTTCTTCCCGACAGTGTCACTCATTTGGTATATGGACTTTGTTCTTATTAATTAATTAAATTAAATTCTTAATTAGCAACAGTAGTGAAATCGAATGAATTTTGATGTTACATTATTTGTATACAGTTATCCGTATATCTTTTATCGGCATTCAATAAAAGCTTTAGAGATACGGAATTTATTAAATGTCTGCAACAAAGGTACTCGTATTACGTATTATTAATAACTAAATACTGTTTTAAGTTATGCTTTTAATGGACGTAAAACACAAAAATTGACCAATGAACACATTTTAAAACACAATTATTGATCAATGATAATAATAAGATTAATAACGTTATTAAGAGGAAATGTCTCACAGTTGGTAGCAAATCGTTTTTACAATGCACACGCACACGGAAGTTGGAACCTAGTCGCCTAGTCGGTTTACGTGGAAGCAGTGATGACTACTTCGCAAATGTGAGTTTTCATATCTTGGACTCTTGTTATCTATTATGGTCTTTTTATTCCAATATTACTAAAATGAATGACAAAAATGTGACTTGTTTTAAATTTTTACAAAAAAGTGACTAAAAGTCATTTATTCCTTATATTTAATCATACATTTATTATTTTAATAATATTCCTTTGCAGCCACCATCACCGTTGCTGCCGCCACTTTGGTCACAGACTCACAGTGACTCCGGTCACAGTGACTCCGGTCACAGTGACTCCGGTCCACCGGGCACCGACCCTAGTGATTGCTCGTCCATCGACCATAGTGACTGCTCGTCCCTTGGCCATAGTGACTCCCCGCCTACGACCGCAATGCCTGCCCCCCAACTTCGGCCATCGCCATGCAACTCAGTTGGCTTACTACTGTCATCGGCCAACCCCTTCCCCAGCCCCCAAACCCCCTCCATATCCCCTAGCCCCCTACCTACCTTCCCTCGCCCAAATCCCTCCCCACCAGAAAAAACCCCAGCCCCTGCCCCATCTAGCCCTGCCCCCTGAATTGCCCCAAACCATGTCACAAGCTTCAATTCCGACCACCCATACCAGACAATGTTATAACTATGCCCAAGTCATCGGAGCCCTCTCTAGCGCGTTGGCAACCTTCGAGCCCCAGCCCTGACCACCTGCAACAACCGTTCCATCGAAGACGATGGCGGATGTGGCCGACGACGACAGATGTGGCCGAAAGCGGTAATTAGGCGTGGATTCGGGCCGGGGCCGGGTCAGGTCTAGGCTCGGGCGGGTCGGCGGGTCTGAATAGGTTGACCCGGGACCAGTTCGGGTAACCACCGTTTCCGGGTCGGGCCTCGGGCTTGTTTATTTTTTTGCTTACCTACCTATCTCTGACCCCCCTCACCCCCCCCCCCCCCCCCCCCAAACCCCTCCTAAACATCAAGCCCAACCTGGTTGGAGCCCAAACAAATGAAAAAAAAACAAAAAAAAATCAATTTGGCATGAATCGGGCTCGGTCGGGCCGGGCCTTGTTTTGGGTGATCCGAGCTCGAACCGGAAACCCCTCGGGTCGGGCCTACCCGGACCGGTCACTGATCGGGCCGGTTCTGGGTCGAGCCACCCGGCCTGAGTCCACCACTAACCGATATCCAACAGATATGGGCTCAGATCTTCATCGCGGTTGAGTTTTAAGGGGAGATCCAACAGATTTGCGACGCACGACTTTCAGCTCCTGCGACAACCATCCATGGATGAAGACGCCGGTGTCCACCTCGATCGCACAGAAAGGGAAGAAACAGAAATCTGCACAAGGGAGAGCGAAGACGACCGTGGAGCACATATGTGGCCTGCGATGGAGGCCGGCAGAGGTGTAGTTCCCGATTGTGAGGTCAACGATAGATGAGGGTTGAGAGAATGCTGGAGAGGCGTGGCTTGAGGAGATAGATGACTCAAGGTCCGGGGGAAATTGGCGTGGAGATTGGAGAAGAAGCTTTTTGGAAGAGGGAGAAGAAGCTTTTTGGAGATTGGAGAAGAAGTGCTCTGTTGCGGACCGAAACAAATGAGAACTATAGTCACGTTTTAGAAAAAAAGTAAAAAGACTCATACTTTTGGAAATTAAAAGTCAACTAGTAATAACCGGACCATTTTTTCTATCTATATTACTAGGGTGTCACAGATTGTTTCTATAATACAAACGCAAAGTTCTGATGATAAGCTTCATTTCATAAATGAGAAATCTTCAATTCTCATCAGTGGCTACCGTTTTTTTATATCTAAACTTTAAAATTACTATAATTATAAGTTATAATAACAACGAACCCTGTCAATATTGACCAATGACCATTGAATATTTTACTACGTATTACGAAGTACTTCGTATCATTTATAAAATTATATGCAAATCATAGGAGGTGATCTCATTTGAATTTTGAACTCTATCTGGCTATGGGCTATGGCCTATGTGTGTAAATGTATGTTATCTATGGTTGTTTAGTGGGAACTCATCTACAATCGAATGACAAAATAACGTTAATTAAGGTTGGTATGGGCATCATCATCATTACATTACTCCAGTGACGTAAAGGCTTTCACCTACGGTGGGGCAGGGGTTGGATGTACGCAGCTTTACTATTGTACTAAAGTACAGAGAAATTGTTTCTCGATAACCCATAGTGAAAATCGCGTTGAAAATTATATGAACTGACTGTTACTTTATAACAAAGAAACACACACAGTTTAGTGAGCTATCTTGCTTTATTTCATCATATTCGAACATAAAAAAGAGTGAGTCTTTGATTCCATTACAAATAAGCCATTATGATATTGGATTGAATAATGGGGTATTGAGGTATTCAAGGTTCTATAAACTTTATCTTGAAAGTAACTATACCATTAGAAATATATATGGGATTTGTTCGGAACATTGAGAACCGAGTCAGATTGGAAAGATCTAAACTAATACTCGGTATATACTTTAATCCAAAATAAAATTGTTATACCCCAACAGTTTTTTTTTATAGTTCGACATTACTTTTATTTTGATATCAATTATCAAATACAAGTGAAAACATTTATATTTTAATGGTAACACTGAGTTAGGTACATAACAATGGTTATGCATAAGTTTGATTGTACTCCGCAAGTGTTGTTGCTAATTTTAATGGTAACACTATGTTAGGTACATAATAAGGGTTATGCATAAGTTTGATCATAACGTGATTGTAGTAGTCATTTTTATTTGTGAAGTTTGTTCTTTGATGTCTAACTTCAAATATAGTAGAACTGTTGGTTAAAATTTGCACGCAGTTAAATAATTTCCCTAAAATATAAAAGGATGGAGAACAATACCTACTTTAAAAAAGGAAACATTTGTCACTAGATAAACAATAAATTAAACAATTAAAGTTGTCACTAGATAAACAATAAATTGAGTAATTAAAGTATCCAATCCCATTGATAAGAAGGCAAAAGTTTAATTTTCATCTTTAATGTTGATATATATTGGCATCGGCCACAAAAAACATAAGCATCAAGTATTACTAGTATAACCTCGTATGTAAGTGTATAACCGAGATATTGTATCGATATTGTAACTTTACTCGTATAACCCAGTAAAAGCACAGGAGTAAAAATGGGCAAAATTCAAAACAAATGTAAACTTTTTTATTCCTAAAACATGACTTCTTTTCTTTTAATTAAATATTCTCGAACTAGGAGTAAATGGGTTCAATTTTGGGAAGGAAACAATAACACTCATAATTAGGGATCGCAAGTTATAGTGTTATACAGTGGGATCGGCCCACCATGAGCATAGTGTGCTGATCCCAAAACAGCATAATCGGTCCACCATGAGCATAGTGTGTCGATCCCAAAACGGCATAGTTTCATTAATTAAAACAAGCAACAAACCCATTGTCGCCGACTTATTATTAAAAAAACAGAGAGCCGATAAGAGCAAGCAACAAAACCTTCTTCGTTATTGCCGCCGGGATCGTTAGTGCAACAAAACCTTCTTCATGCGTTTAAACCATTTACGCGTTGTTTATATAAACAATTGAGGAGAAGGATTTAATAATTAAATATAGTATTGTTAATCATGAATAACATAACGACTGAGGAGAAGGCTACTCGGGAGAAAGTAGTGGGTTATATAAACGATTTATATAAACTTCAATTGGGAAGGCTACTCCGGAGGTTCCGGCGGGAGAAGCTCAATTAAAACGGATGGAAAAAATGGAGTTAAAACGCAAATAATTAAATACGTAGTAAAATATAACTTCAGTGCAATATTAATACATGTAGTTACATTTTTTTATGAACGATTTACATCTTCATGTGCATGAGTTACATCTTTTTATAAGTAAGTTACATCTTCTAAAAGATGAGTTACATTTGGATTTGGTTCAATAAGTTACATTCTGTGTACACCTAAGTTACATTTGCTATCAACGTGAATTACATTTGTAATAACATGAGTTACATCGAAAAATAAACCCCTGCTATTGAACAAAAAAATGATTTTTAAGTCCTTTATATTCACGAAGGTCATATATTGAACAAAATAAACGAAGGTCATATATTAAAAACAAAATATATTCACAATTTACGTAAAGTAATTATGTAGTTAAACTCATTTTTTCATTATTTACATTGAAATCAATATTTTATTTCTTAATTTGACAAGTTATATTTCTTAATTTGACAAGTTACATTTCGAATGGACATGAGTTACATTGAGCCATTGAGGGGAGGTCCGGAACCGGCCCGGGTAACCCCCGGGTCCGGGCCGGGCCGGGCCTCGGTTCTAATTTTTTTTTTTTGGCTTTTCCTAGTTAACCCCCAACCCTCCCCCTCACCCCCAAACTAACCCTAATCACCTCAAATGGCCCAAAATACCCAGCCCAACCCAAAAACTTAAAAAAAAATTAAAAAAAATGGTCCGGCCCGGGCCCGAACCGGCCGGGCCGGTTCACCTTTTGAAGGGCCCGAGCCCGAACCGCCATCCCACAGGGCCGGGTGGCCCGAACCGGCCAACCAACCGGTTCACCGGGCCGGTCCGGGCCCGCACAGTAGCAGGCCGGTCCGGTTCCGGACCGGTTGGCCCGGCCCGAGTCCGACCCTAGTTCTATTTCATGAAGAAACTTCATTTGTTTGAAGCAAATGCAAACATCTGCAAAATACGCAAGCAAAGATCCACATATGTTCACAACTGTGCACTTTATGTCTTAATGATACTCTTTTTTTCAATAACGTA